GTAGCTTCAGTGACACTGTCCAACCATCTCGTCCTCTGTCATCCCCTTCTCCTCTTGCCTTCACTCTTTCCCAACATCAGGGTCTTTTCCAGGGAGTCTTTTCTTCTCATCAGATGGCCAAAGTATTGGAACCTCAGCTTCAGGATCTGTCCTTCCAGGGAGCACTCAGGATTGATTTCCTTCCGAATTGATAGGTTTGTTTTCCTTGCAGTCCAGGGAACTCTCAAGAGTCTTGTCCAGCACCACAATTCAAAAGCGTCAATTCTTTGGTGGTCAGCCTTCTTTATGGTCCAGCTCTCACTTCTGTACAACACTACTGGAAAAACTATAGCTTTGACTATGCAGACCTTTGTCAGCAAGGTGATGTCTCTGCTTTTTAAGATGCTGTCTAGGTCTGTCATCACTTTCCTCCCAAGAAGCAGACGTCTTTTAATTTCATGGCTGCTGTCACCATCTGCAGTGATTATAAAGCGCAGGAAGGTAAAATCTGTCACTGCTTCCATATCTTGCCCTTCAATTTGTCAGGAGGTGATGGGACCATTGGGTATGAGCTTAAATTTTTTTTTTCTGTTCAGCTTCAGACCATTTTTTGCACTCTCCTCTTTCACCCTTATTGAGAGGTTCTTTAATTCCTCCTCACTTTCTGCCAACAGAGTGGTATCATCTGCATATCTGAGGTAGTTGATATTTCTTCCCGGCAGTCCTAATTCTGTTTTGGGATTGTTCCAGTTCAGCCTTTCGCATGATGTATTCTGCATATAAGTTAAATAAGCAGGGAGACAATACACAGCCTTGTCGTACTCCTTTCCTAATTTTGAAGCAATCAGTTGTTCCATATCCAGTTCTAAGTCTTGATTCATGTCCCACATATAGATTTCTCAGGAGATAGATAAGGTGGTCAGGCATTTCCATTTCTTTAAGAACTTGCCATAGTTTGCTATGTCAAAGGCTTTTGCATAGTCAATGAACTCTCTGGCTTTCTCCATAATCCAGCACATGTTAGCAATTTGGTCTCTAGTTCCTTTGTCCCTTTGAAATCCAGCTTGTACTTCCGGGAGTTCTCGGTCCACATACTGCTGAAGCCTGCCTTGGGGAATTTTGAGCATAACCTTGCTAGCGTGTGAAATGAGTGCAATTGTACGGTAGTTGGAGCATTCTTTGGCACTGCCCTTCTTTGGGTTTGGGATGTAGTCTGATCTTTTCCAATCCTCTGGCCACTGCTGAGTTTTCCAAACTTGCTGGCATATTGTGTGTAGCACCTTAACAGCATCATCTTTTAAGATTTTAAATAGTTCAGCTGCAATGCCATCACCTCCACTGGCCTTCTTGTGGTTAAGGGGCAAAAGCAGCCATCTCTAACATGTTTATTTCATTCAAAACCAGTTGCCAAAACACAGTTTCTCTTGAGCGCAGTTGGCAGCAGGATTTTTAAACCCAAACCTGGTATCCAATTGCATTTTGATGTTGTGACAAACAGTATGCATGAGGCCAGCAGTACAGTTACGTTGTTGACCGCACCTGTTAATTCAGTCTTGTGTTGCATTGATATGTTTTTTCTTAGCTCAGTGGTTTCAGTGTCTGGCTGTGAAGCCAAAGATTGGGAGTTTGATTCCCACTGTGCCTCCTTGACAGGGACAGGACTTGATGGTCCATAGAGTCCCTTCCAGCTGTGCAGTTCTAAGTTTATAATGCAGGCCTAATACATGGACTGATGAAGTTGTGTGAATTTTGAGCTGAGGCAGGTGATGCAGTCTTATTTCTCCTTGATTGCCTGAGTGCTCCTTCTCTGGAGTAACAGAGAAAGGGATTTAATAGAGACTCATTGGGGCCATTTGTAGAATAGTTCTTCATTCTGTTCTCATCCTTTTTTTTTCTTTTTGCTATGGCCATAAACACAATATGAAAGAAATATAGCCTGAATTAGGATTGTATACATTGCATAATGAATCTTATGATGTGTGAAGAAATGTAGAAATGTTTCCAGTCTCTGGCACCCTTCAAATGTACCAGGGGGCCATGTGGCCCCTGTTGAAAATGGCTGAAAAAAGAACCATTTTGCATTCCAGAAAGTAAAATACTTTCTTGGTGTAGAGATCTTAATAGGACTACTTAATGAGCATAATTCTGGATTGGCTTATGTTCGTCTTCTGCCCTGAACTTAGGAATAGCCATGACGTAGACTTGACACGCAGTTACCCTTTTAATGAGGTATTCAACAATGAAGCATCAGCAAGGACATTAGGGATGGGCATTTTATAGGGGAGCAATTTCACCAGTGCATAGAAGGAGAATATGTAGCCAAATCCAACCACAGTCTTTAAAGGGAAAAACTAAGTGCATGGGACTAATTTAGTACAGCACTGCACATACAGTGGCATTTCTGACTTGAACATGTTTGTACAGGGACAGTTTTTCTGGCTGTTAGGTGGTGTTTGAAAAAGTTATTACGTCTTGCTGGAGAGCTGAAGAAGGTTGCTTGATTTTTGCAAAAACATTTTAGAGAGGCCTGTCTGCCATTTTCGGTTTTACAAGTTTTCACTTGTAGGGAAATTTATGTTGATGAAACCAGCAAAATGGGAGTTAAGTGTTAAGCTCCTCTCCAAAAATAGTTTTCCCTGTTTAGTATTCTAAATCTTCCTCATTTCACTCATAACAAAATATGTTATGTTACTCACCAAGGAAGAGTAAAGACAAGAAGCAAGGAAATAGAGCAAAAGCTGAGAAAGAGCTGAGATTAGCTAGACACACTAAAAGCAACAAAAAGCATTCTTCAGGTATATCTGAGGCAAAAGACAAGAAAAGAAAAGCTACTCAGTGGAGATGGAAAAAAGATAACAGATGACAAAGTAAAGGCAGAGGTGCTCAATTCCTGTTTTAGCTCAGTCTTTTCCCATAGGACAGACTATGAACCTCCAGACAAATGTGAAGTGCAAGTGGAGGGGACAGGATTGCAGCTGGAGATTGATAAACAAATAGTCAAGGAATACCTTACCACTTTGAACATGTTCAGATCTCCAGGGCCAGATGAATTCCATCCGAAAGTACTGAAAGAACTGGCTGAGGAACTCTTGAGAACCATTGTCCAATCCTTTTATTTTAAAATAATAATAATAATGGGAAATAGGTGAGGTGCCCTATTATTGGAGGAGGGCTAATGTTCTTGTCTTCAAAAAGGGCAAAAAAAGAGGAAACCCAGAAACTGCAGACCAGTCAGCCTGACGTCAATCCCAGAGAAAATTCTGGAACAAAATATAAAACAGTCACTATGCAAACACCTAGAAAACAGTGCAGTAATAGCTAGAAGCCGGCATGGAGTTGTCAAGAAGAAATCCTACCAGACTAATCTGATCGTATTTTTTGATTAGGTAGCCTCCCTGATAGAGGGAATGCTGTAGACATAGTATATATTGACTTTAGCAAAGCTTTTGACAAAGTGCCCCTTGATATCCTGATTAGATCAAGTGTCAGGTAGATACAAAATTGGCTAGAGAATCATACTCAGAGGGTGATAATTACCGTATTTTTCCGTTTACAAGACGACCCAAAGTATAAGATGACCCCCCCCTTTTCTAACCCCCAAATTAGAAAATTTGCACGCTCACACCCCTTTGATCCTCCCACCCTTTCCTGGCTGTATTTCCCACTTTCTAAGCTCTGCGGAGCTTAGGAAATGGTTAATGCAACCATGAAAGGGCAGCGTGCTCGTGCTCGTTTGATCCTGATGCCCTTTCCTGGCTGCGTTTCCCACTTTCTAAGCCTGGTGGAACTTAGGAAATGGTTAATGCAGCCATGAAAGGTCAGCGCGCTCACGCCCCTTTGATCCTGATGCCCTTTCATGGCTGCCTCAGGATCAAAGGCGTGCGAGTGTGCTGCCCTTTCATGGCTGCTTTACTCTGTGGGTTTGCAAAAGGCAGGGAAAGCGGCTGCCTGCCGTGTATAAAATGACCCTTAATTTTTGGTCTAATTATGTAAGTAAAAAGTCTTGTTTTATACACGGTAAAATGCGTAATTTCTCCTTCAACTGGGAGGAAGTAACAAGTAGGGTACCCCAGGGCTCAGTCCTGGGTCCAGTGCTCTTTAACATTTTCATTAATAACTTGGATGAGGGAGTGCAGGGAATGCTTGTCAAATTTGCAAATGATACCAAATTGGATTATTGGATTGGTGGAATTATTGGAATATCTATTGATGGAATAGATAATACCCTTGAAGACAGAAACAAAATTCAAAATTATCTTGATAGGCTTGAACACTGGGCTAAAATCAACAGAATGACATTCAACAGGGACAAGTACATTGTACTGCATATCAGAAAAAGAAACCAAATACACAATTACAAAATGGAGATACCTGGCTCAGCAATACAGTGGTGCCTCGCTTAACAGGGATAATCCGTTCCAGCGAAATCGCTGTCTAGCAAAATCCTCATTAAGCGAAATAAAAAATCACATTGAAACGTATTGAAAACCATTTTCGATGCCTGTAAAGCGAGGAATCCGTCCAAAAACACAGCGGGGAGCCATTTTACACAGCGGGCGGCTATTTTGAAGCCGCTGATCAGCTGTTTTAAAAACATCATCTAGCGAAAAATTGGTTCCCAAAGCAGGGAACTGATCGTCGGAAAGTGAATTTTGCCTATTAAAACATCGTTTTGTGATCGCGAAAGTGATTGCAAAATAGTCATCATATAGCGGTTTCATCATTTAAAGAGGCAATTTTTAAACGAGGCACCACTGTACTACAAGTGAGAAGGATCTTGGAATTGTAGATCACAAATTGAATATAAGCCAACAGTGCAATGTGACTACCAAAAAGCTAAATGCTATTCTCGGCTGCATTAACAGAAGTATCATTTCCAAATTCTGCGAGGTGCTAGTCCCCCTCTATTCAGCACTGGTTAGGCCTCATCTTGAGTATTCTGTCTAGTTCTGGACATCATATTTTAAGAAGGATGCTGACAAATTGCAACAAGTTCAGAACAGGCCAACAAGGATTATCAGGGAGATGGAAACCAAACCTGATGAGGAAAAGCTGAAAGAATTGGGCATGTTTCTCATGTCTTGAGAAAAGAAGACTGAGGGGTGATATAACATTTTTCAAATACTTGAAAGCCTGTCATACAGAGGAGGGGCAGGATCTGTTCTCAATTGTCCCAGAGTGCAGGACACACAACAATGGGCTCAAATTACAGGAAGCCAGATTTCGGTTGAATATCAGAAAAAATGTTCTAAGACGGTGGAACCAATTACCTTCAAAGGTGGTGAGTGCTCCAACACTGAAGGCATTCAAGAGAAACTTAGACAACCACCTTGCAGATATCGTTTGGTTTGTATTCTTGCATTCTATGATGGTAGAACCCCAGTCAATCCTCTGATTTAATTCTGTTCCACATAGGCTTTGGAAATACTGTAGTTGGTAGCAGTGCCTTAGTTTGTTTTACTGCTTCTGGATGTACTGCTTTTCTCTTGGAACAAAACCAAAACAGACAAACGCTAAGATAATAGGTAGCCTCTTACCAGTGGTATAATTTGAGCATCTACCACTGAGCATCCGTTTCATGTAGAGCAAAGTCGGTTGTTGGCAGAAGCTTTTTGATAAAGAATATGTATATAAAGAATTAATCTGTATGTTGAAGCCTAAACTGGTATATATACTATATATATTATATACTATATAGGTTTTTCAGTCATGATCAAATGTCTCCTTAAAGGAATGCAGGGAGAAAAGATCCCAGTTTTTCTGGGGTAAAGATGAACCCTCTGCTTAATAGAGCCTGCTCAGCATCACAGTGTAAGCTCAGATAAAAACACACTTCAAAAAGCACTCAAATGGTTACAAACAAAGCGCTGGAGAGTTCTGAAATGGCCAGCAAAGAGGAACATCCACTACTTCACATTAGCTCATAAAGGAACGTCTACTGAGGGACACGACTGCTTTTAACTCTGTAAAGTGTTGATTTAAGACTTTAAACTCTATATAAAACATGTCTCTTCTGTTTTGGTCATCAGCAGAGTGCTGTGTTCATCAGGCCTAAAGCTACCACAGGATTTGGGAAATGCCAACCGCAATATAAAAACATTATTTTGAAGGATAATGTGATTAAATATACATGTAATTTCAGCCTGTAGTGTGTGACTTTTTTTAAAAAAAAAGACTGAGTTTTATTAGCCTACATAGAACAGATGACTATTGATTTGCTAGATCATTAAAGTAATTAAAACTTTAGTTATTTTCAAGATCCATAAAGAATGTGTTTTTTGATTCAAAGGACCTAACCACATGTCGATGCAGGGACCTGGACCTGGACCGAACCAGCTCAACATGACAAACAGCTCTATGAACATCCCTGCAAGTAGTCATGGGTCTATGGGAGGTTATAATCATTCAGTACCATCTTCTCAAAGTATGCCTGGACAGAATCAGATGACAATGAGCCAAGGACAACCTATGGCCAGCTATGGTCCCAGGCCAAATATAAGCATGCCACCAAACCAAGGTAAGCAAATAAATATATTATCCAACTTCTATTAAATATAGAATACTATAAAATATAAGCATTTTCAAAATGTTTTAAATGAGGGCTATAAGTATCTGTTCTTCTGTAATGTTGACATTTGTTGGATGTATATTTGTAACCATCTATATCTATTCACTGACCTTGAAAGCCATATTAGGATCATGATAAGACAGTTCTGACTTGACGGCATGAAACATGAACAGAATATTTGTACCAATAACTTTTCTCTCTCTTTTTTACTGAATGCTTGAAAGATAATCCTTTTAGTATAGAAAAGCAGGGAAAAAGTGTAACAGTAGCATTTTAAAATCTTGTGTAATGGCACTGTGTGTGTAAGGTAATGCAGGTGGGGTACCTGAAAGAATGGCTTTCTCTTGTGAGATTCCCAGCTGCTGAGATGGTTTTGGGAAGATCTCTTCTGCATCCTGCCATCAAGAGACATTTGGTTGCCCCGAATACTGGCAACAGTACAGTAGTACCTAGGTTTACAAAATTAATCTGTCATCCAGGATGTTATGTAATGCAGAACGCGGATTGCCATGGCAACGGGGTGGGGTGGAGTGCTAGAAACCTCCAGGTGTGATGCATCCTTTTCATACAGAGAACCCACCCACCCTGAAACAAAGTAAACCAAGGCATTATTTCCTTTGAATTTCAGTTCCAAACTGAAGGTTACGTAAACCGAGGTGTATGTAAATGTATGCCTGTATTGGATTTAAATCAGTGATTTGAATCAGTTTGATTTTTAAAAAAATCATTGATTTTCATCCACCTGACTGGAAAGACCTTCTCTAGTTACTTTTCAGCCATGTAAACACATTTTGCCATCTTGTTTTCTCCCTTAAGCAGATTATGAGACATATTATAATGGTTGTTGTGGGTTTTTTGGGATCTTTGGCCGTGTTCTGAAGCTTGTTCTTCCTAACGTTTCACCAGTCTCTGTGGCCGGCATCTTCAGAGGACAGCACTCTGTGCTCTGAAGNNNCTGGCCACAGAGACTGGTGAAACTTTAGGAAGAAAAACCTTCAGAACACAGCCAAAGAGCCCGAAAAAACGCACAACACCCATTAGATCCCGGCCGTGAAAGCCTTCGTGAATACAGACATATTATAGTTTGCTATAACCTGTGGGAAAATCATGATGTAAGTATTTTTATCAGTAGATGCTAAATAATGTGTATTGTTTGCCAACATTTTACAGACCAATATTGGTGTCAATAATATTTATTCTTTTTCATCCTCGTACTGTTACACCAGTGGGGTCTTGACTTAACGGCTCGAGTTAAGAACATTTTGACTTAAGAACCACTCTCATAGGAAAATATTGACTTGACTTACATACTTAGATTTGAGTTAAGAACTGAAAAAAAACCACGTGGGAGGCAGGGAAAGTGCAAAATTTGAACTTTCAGTTAACTGTTGGCCAGTGAAAAGGGTGCCTGTCTGCTTCTTCACTCCTCCCAGCGTTTAGAGAGTGGATTGGGAGTCTTCAGACTGCCTGGTACTGTACTGCCTGGACTGTATTTTCCCTGCCTTCCCTGAACCTTTCTTGACCTAAGAAAAAAAGAAACAAAATATCCCCCTCTAGTGGTCGAAGGCAGAATAGCAGCTTCCCATTAGTTTCTATGGACGGAAAAGAGCAGATACGGCTCAAATGGTTTTCAATGCATTCCTATGCGAAATGCAGATTTGACCTGAGAACTTTTTGACTTGAGAACCGCCTTCCAATACGGATTAAGTTCTCAAGTCAAGACCCCACTGTATTAATTTTTGCAAAGAAGTATAAGCTTTATAGATGTAGGAGAAGCATGACTGTAGTCCATGTGTACTAAATGTTTTTCTCATGGCGTGTGTGTCTTACATTCTCTGCTGTTGATCTGTCCATCTTTACTTTGAAATTCTCTCCACAACAACGTGATGCAGTATTAGTATGTAATGTGGCCTGGGCTTCACACTAAATTTAGCATATCTCCATTATGAGTAGTTTTGTCCAGTTTTATAGAAGGTTCCTTCAGAGATATTCATATATGATGAGATGGCACAGTGATGTGAAAGTCAACACAATTTTAGTAACTATCCAAAGCCTTTGTCTGCAGCATTTTTGCCAGGATGGATAAAAGGAAATGATTTTTTAAAAAAATAATAACAATTGAAGAATTTTTAAAATTGTAATTAGGCTTTATTGAGATTTTCCTCTCTCTGATTGTAGGTTTTATTTTAAATATATGCAGTAACTCTAAGATCTCACTATGAAATAGGGATTATAAATTATAATGCTGTATTGTGAAACAGTATATCCTACCATTTTAAAAAACTTTTTAGAAATAAGGTCTTTGTGTAATATAGACACACTTATTGCTCCATTTTAAAAAGATAGAAGAATAAAGATGCTAACATTCAGATACACTAACAACCTTTTAGTTTCATGTACTATTCTGTAGAAAAATGTAATAGTACGGGCTTATAAATAGCTGCTTTAGAAAGTGCTTGTGGCAAGCAAGATATACCTTCAAGTGCTGAGAAGGTGCTCTCAGAACTCCTAAAATTCTCCCAAGAATTCCCCAGGCAGAATGCTGGAAGTTTCATCCCAAAGACCTACATCTAAAGACACTTACATTTCGCTCACTTGGAGCAGGGCCTAGTTCAGTGGATCCACAGCAGTCTTATGCCTACCTCCTGCAGTTAATGTAAAGAAAAGGAAGTAGCTTTTGTGCTTCTTGAAGGTTACCTCTTAGACTCTAGAGGGTGTCTCCCAAAGAACTGTATTTAGGTGTCTGTAGGTGTGGGTTTGTGGGCATTCTGGCAGAGAAACGTCTGGAGAACTCTAGGTGTTAAGAGTCCAGAAGCCCGTATGGCACATTTCTAATAGTCTCTGTCTGCTCCAACTCAAGAAGAAGTCTTATCATGCTCACAAGGATGGTAGAACACTTGTCATGGCAAGTAGAATTGTAGACTCTGAGGAGTGTTTGGAGAAAGACTGAAGAGGTGCATTTTGAGTTTGAAAGAAGACATTAGAAAACAGATGAAATATTAACTAGATTGAGAAGTAGAGATATAAGCATCTCTTGAAGGAGGGGAGTTAATAATGAATTATTTCTGAAATGTTTTAGACATGCACACCTAAATATGGTGTAAGAACTTCTTCCCTTCCAGGACTAGTAGCATAGAGTATAGCATTTAATGCAGCATAAAAGTTGTATTTAATACAGTGTAAAAGCCGTATTAAAAATTATGGATATGATTTTTTGAATTCTAGGACTTCCAGTCTCAAATGTCTCCTAGAATTCCCCAAGCAGACTTTTTGAACTGAGGGAGGAGAATTGAGAAGGCAAAAGCAAAGTGTTCCTACCTTAATTTCTGCCTCATTGCATGTGTTTAGGATGAGAAGACAAAGGGAATGTACTTCAGTCCCACTTCTTCCGGAGAGCCACCTCATTGTTGCATGGGAAGAGTAGTCTTACTAATCATTAGATTTTATAGGGGAACCTCTCATTGGACTACCTGCCCTGTGAATTACTGAGGCAATTCTGAGGAAGCAGTGAAATGGGGTGGGGTGGGGCAATCTCTCCTTCCTAGCTGAAGCACACAGAGTGAAGCTGGTTTTTCCTCATTCTATTCTGGATGTCTGCTTAGAGATTTGAAGCAGCTTCTAGGACTGAAACTCCTGGAATTCTGAAAGTCCCATCCCTATTAAAAATAGACCAGCAGTCCAAATACACAGAAGAAATACTTATTGTAGATGGTGTAGAGATTTTCTTTTCAAATATATATATTTCAATAAGAACCATATGGAAAAATGTGGTTGCTATTGCCTAATGCAGTATTATTTGTGAAACTCCCTATTCTCTAGCTTTTGTTACTAAAATAGTGGGTTCACTTCTGCAGAAATTCATTAGTGGTATATTTTTCATTTAGTCAATTTTGTTGCTAAGGTGTTCTGCTGTTTTCTGGCAAGGTAAATAATTACCAAGCTAGTTTTCAGAGTTAATTGCCTTCATTCTTTTAAGTTTTTAAACTTAACATATTTACAAAATCACATTGCTTTGAGAAGTAATCTACTGAAAGTAATTGGCTTTATGGTTCCATATGAAATATTTTTTCTAATATTTATTCAATGTCTTGTTTTGATCCTTCTGATAAATGTTTTAATAGCTCATTTAAATATTCAGGGTCAGGAGACAAAATACTGGCACTTTTTTGTATATTGGCTACTTTTACAAAATTTAATGCCAGTTATTCAGATAAAGAGATTAAATATCACTTCTGTTCAAGCATATCATAAAGCATGTATGTCATAAGAGTCAAGCTTTCTTATGAGTTAGATAAAAATGTTTTGGGATTATCTATTTGACATTAAGGTCTGTTGTCTAAAAGAAGAATTGATTTCTGTTCTACATATGTTAAACATGTTTGAACAAATAGTTCCTGTTTTTCAGGCCTGTTAGCAGTTCGTAGAAATGAAGTGAGCCAGATAGTGTGAGAGCAGATGTGTGTACAATCAGCCTGATCTTTCAAGAGTTTGACTCACAGCAAAATGAGAATACAGAATTTATCAGCACCCATTTAAATTGTGACATTCTATTGAGAAAAGTAGTGTTGGCATACAACTATGCAGTGAAGCAAGAAGAAAGGTAGTTGTGATTATAAGTTGAAGGTTTTGCAAATGTTTCATGAAAATAATTCTGTAACTTGTTTTAGATGCCCACTAAAACAAATGCTAGGTTGTATTAATAGTCATCCAGCACATATGCAGTATTGGATCTGCTGATGTAAATTAAATTCTTCTGTAGCATCTTTAACATTTAGCAATTGCTCCCTTCCTTTTGGCCAGATTCTATGCTGTTTCCAAAATACCTCCCATCTATCAGCTACTAATATCAGCCTTACCTCTTGAAGGAACAGATTTTAAATGCTTCAGGGTTTTTTTGTTTGTTTGTTGTTTGTTTAATTCTGTTTGTCATACCCTTCTGTTACAATTTTGGCTTATCCTTTGTGTAAGTTAAACTGTAACAAGTTAGGAAGTTTTAAAGTTGCTATTTTTCTCCCACTTTAGGCCCAATGATGCACCAGCAGCCACCTTCTCAGCAGTACAGTATGCCCCAGGGAGGTGGACAGCATTATCAGGGACAGCAGCCACCAATGGGAATGATGGGTCAAGTTAACCAAGGAAACCATATGATGGGACAGAGGCAGATTCCACCATATAGACCACCACAGCAAGGTAAGATTAGGTGTTGCATGTTTAAATGCTTTGCTAATTAACATAGAAAGAAAAATATATCCAGTTAGTAGGACTGGGGGAAAATCCTGTAGTGGAACACTCAGGGTTCTGGCCACTCCACTCCCCCTACTCCCAACAGTCACATACTATGCCCACTGAGGTTGCACAGTTGTCATTTTGCTCCTTTCTCCTCCTTATGCTCATCTAATATGTAATCTGAAGTTCTTTGTCCTCCTTTAAATTTTGGGGATTTGCCCAAGTGTGCTTGAAATCCCCCTTTTTATGCTTAATTGTGCTTTTTTCACTACATAAGGGCCAGCATTGGAAGACTTGCATTACTGCTAGTATATATTATTCAATCTGAATTCCTACATGCACCCCATATTTCTTTATATGAACTTTTGGAATATCCAGCAAAGTTACCTATGTGAAAATAGGATTTTTTTAAAAAAGTCTATCTGCCTATTTTCTTTTGGTCATTGCAGGCCTAAAAGAACAAGCCAATCTGAAGTTTACCTTCTTAGTACTTAACGGCAAACCTTGCCTGCCACAAGTACTTTCCAAAGCAGCTATTTTACAAGCCCATACTATTACATTTTCCTACAAAATAGAACTTGAAGCTAAAAGGTTGCTATCTGTATCTGAATGTTAACATCTTTTTTTTCTATCCCTTTTAAAAGGAGCGATATGTGTGTTATATTGTTACAATGTTTTTCGAAATCTGTAGTTACACAATATTGGGTATTTAATGAAATCAGGTTCTTTGTGTAATACATACATGTATAGTCACAAAGCATTAAATATGTTTTCCAAAATTCAGTGACATGGGGGGTGGAGTCTATAGATGAGGTTTGTTTCTCATATTAAAGAAAGAAATCAGTGAGTGTGCGGGAAAAAAACAAGTTATTTACATATTGACTGGTTGTGGTTTTTCAGGCCCACCACAGCAGTACTCAGGCCAGGAAGACTATTATGGGGACCAATACAGTCATGGTGGACAAGGTCCTCCAGAAGGCATGAACCAGCAATATTACCCTGATGGTAATTTCTCATAATGTTAACTTTCCCATTTTACATACCTGCCCATTATTCTACTCACATTAATAACTATACACAAACTACTGGATGATTTGAAGCCCAAGGCATAACTTTCTTACAATTAGAATTAAAAAACAACTAATACAGATTTTTATATTTTTATAAGAATTCCCTTATTTGGCTAGAGATATAGAAAGTATTTACCATATGTGGATGGCTGATGCAATATATCTGCTTCCCAACCTGTAGTGTATCTGCATACAGTATAATTTTATTTATTTAAAAAAATTAAAATTGAGATTGACTGAATATGTTGATTCTAAAGCCCCATAATAAAAGTGATTGGTATCTTTCTGTGTGTGCAAATGTGTAAAAGAGAGTGTAGGAATTTATGAACATAATTAAGTAATTGCAACTTTCCTTTAACATTCTTCCGATTCTGAAAACATGTAATTTTTAGAATCTTTTTATTGCAAGGGATAATAAAGTGACATTTTGAATCACACAAAATGATTCCTGTAACTTATACATCCCTCAAATATATTGCCCACATCTTGTTGGTGAAAACCACATGCATTAGAGGCAGTTGTGCAAATAGTTTTCTTTCTGGCTTGCTATCATTATGTAGCCAGGTGCACAACCAAATGTGTAGACATTTATGTAACCAGTAGATGTGTGACAGATGGACAACTGAAAAGGTAGAATCACTTGGATAATTGGCCTTATTTGACTGAAGAAGACAGTAGGATTTTGACCACTGAATATAGGAAAATGTAAGATGTTGCTCCTGAAACTAAATATTTGAGTATATTTTTTAGAAATTATACTGAAGTTGAACTAAGCAAATATTAATAGATTCATGGCTACTATAAGAGCCAGCAGAACACTGTGAATGTTAGTTTGTGAAGATCAGGGTGCATGGTAGATTAGTCACCTTCCTGAAGTGTAATCCTTATTTCAGAGTGACCATTCATTGCAAATTAATTTTGAGGTTTTTTCCTAAATGTGTTCAAGTTGGGTTTGCCAAGTTTTAAACTACCCATTTTTCCTTGGTCACCATCATGCTCATGGTTTATTTTATTCATATCATGAAATAGCTTTGAATGACCTTTGTACTGGATCAGTTTAGTATCAGTTGCAATATGTAACAGTACAGTAAGACAGTTGCACAAATCATTGGTAAAACACTATTGTCGTTTGCAAAAGTCATATTGTTTCTATCTGGCTGTTTTATATTATTCATAAGCAATTACAAACATTTTCAGTAACATTAAACTGTGGCTTAGATAATTCATGATAAGGTATTGTCACATTTATCTGCCCCTAGATTAATTAGAATATCTACGCAGGTTCAGCTGTTTTGAAAATATTCTGTTGACCAGCCCTACAACATGATATATAAATTGAGATTTTAGTTGCTATAAAATGACTTGTTTGAACAAGCAGAAAAGTAACAGGAGATAGAGATGATACACTGTGAACAAAATTAAAGGTGTGCCATTGAATAATCAAGAAACTTTATAAAGAGGTATTTTTTCAAAATGTAGCACCCATCTTAACAAAAAAAGAACAAAGAAGGATTATTACTGAGTGTTCCCAGCAGTACAATTTGTAACCAAATTTCTAACCACAAGCAGAATTGTGAGAAGTGTTAAAAGAAATCTCAGGTCAATTGAGTCCAAATGGTGGATGTCTATAATATTTACTGGCTCTTACAGTAAAGGAGAATTTGTAAAGAAATGCATCTTTTCTTGTTATTGCATGCACTCCACCCAGATATGCAAATAATGTTTTGTGCAGAGGGGGATGTGTTTTAACAAATATATCATACAAAATGGTATAAAAGTAATGTGGAAGTTCAGAGTTTTACTTGTAGTTCACAGTGTTTTTAACAGCATATGCTTTTGAATTGGAGATCAGTAGAACAGGTGTTCAACAAAGTATGGTAATTGGTTTCTTTGTTCATTTTAATTAAATTCAGGTTATTTACATGTGAAAGGCCTAAATGCTTTCATTTTTAGAAAAAAAGACAAAGTGCTTCCCTTTCTAACAAAGATTATCAGAAGCTTAAGACCATTCCTCACTGTGATGTCGCTAAAACTACTTTCATTAGCTGATTTTTTCCATGTCGCATGTTAATTCAGTATGAAAGGGAAACCTATTGGTAAATCCTTCTAATTCAATTTGAAGGTTCTTTTTTATGTATTTCCAATTGACACTGATTTTTTAGTAAGATGAAATCTTTTTAGGGTTTTCACTCAGAGGCCATTAACGTTTCTTCCTGTCTCTTGTCGAATTGATGTAGGTCATAGTGATTACGGTTATCAGCAACCGTCGTATCCTGAACAAGGCTACGATAGGCCTTATGAGGATTCCTCCCAACATTACTACGAAGGAGGTATCTATATACCTTCACACACACATGCACACATACATTCCTTTTCCTTTCCCCTTCCATGAAGGAACAGAAATTCTTTCACAATATAACTTGTTTCCTGCCCATGCAAAGTTGCTGTAGACTGCTAGTTGCTGGCTGTTGAAAACTGCAGGGAACTTGAAGCATTCAAAATAGTTGTGGGTTTTTGTTTTTTTGCAAACATCTAAAATTATAACCTTAAATATGTCATTTCTAACAGTAATAAAATGACTAAAACACTGTTAGCGTTCCCCCAACGTATTTTTTATTTGAACATAAACCCATTGGTCCAGTTGTATATTTTGTGTGTATGTATACATACAAATATAGTGCCATTAGGAAACAGCTTGCTGATTTGTGTAGCTAGTCTGTGCTCTGTAGCTGTCTTTAATTTTGTCCTTTTTTTTCCATTTAGCATAGTCGTGGCCTTATCAAGTCACGGCATTATGTTCCAGTAAACTTAATGCTTGTTTGTCAGAGATGCTGAAAATGCTGCAGTTTAGCCTTGCAAAATCTGGTTTTAACTGCAGTTTGTTTGCCTGAATTCCTTCTGTTTTGGTTTGTTTCCTTTGTTCTGTTCAGTTTTTGAAATCAAAACTGCATTTTCATTTTGTTCTGTGGTGTCCGCTGTGCATCTGAAGAGAAAAGAAAAAATTGAACCAGAGAAAGCGCCTTTAATTTTTTTTGCTTAACCTACTCTTTCAGGAAATTCACAGTATGCCCAACAACAAGAAGCATATCAAGCACCACCTCAGCAGCAAGGATATCAACAGCAACCATACCCAGGCCAGCAAGGTTACCCTGGACAGCAGCAAGGTTATGGTAAGTCAGCAGTGGCACTTGGAAAAAAAAGGTTGCAGGGGAGGACATAGAAGGAAATGGTATATTTCTGAGTGGGCAAACTATGTCCCACATGTTAAAATCTATGAAAAAATTAACAGTATTTAATCATACTTAAAAATGCCATCCTAGATATGTTTTCTCTGAAGTAACTCACATTCACATTGGGTACTTTTTAAATATGATATATATTATCCAGATTAGAATTACGGTAAGGGAAAAGGCTTTCAGACAACATAGTCACTATCAACTTGGATATCACACATTCTAACCCATTTAGAATTTCTCTTACATTCAAATTAGATTTAGAAACTGATTAGATCGATCTGTAGAGATCAGAGCCATCAGTGACTTCTAGTCAGGATAGATGTGTATCACCTCTAGTAACAGATACTTTATGCCTCTGTAAATCAGGTTTTGGGGAGTGCAAGATGGAGTCATCCATTTACATTCCTTGGACATCTGCTCAATATACTAAGTAAAATATAGTTAGACAATATATGGTAAGAGTGAGATATTAATTTTAATAGTTAATATAATAACTTATCTGCAAATTAGAAAGCTCTTCCTATCCTCCACTAGTTTTAAAAAAATTATAGCTTTAAGTTTCTCCAGTTCTTTCCAGGTCAGTTGGTATAGATTCACCCAGCAACAAGTGGTTCTCAACCTTTTTTGTAATGCGGACTGGCAGAGTCTCTGAGGGAGGTGGGGCGGCCCCTCGCACTCTCCGACCCATGTGCGAAGTGGTTGGGGAGCGCGCGTGCCATAGGTGTGCGTGCACATTCCCCCACCGCTTCACACATGCGCAGGAGCGCCTGCCCACCTGCGTCCCCACCCCACTGAAGTCTTTCATACTGATTGCCTACAAGTCATTTCAGGAGGCTTTTGGCCTGATATGGGGCATTATTTACATATAAATAAAAGCTTGACAGCAGGAATGGGGGGGGAAGCTGAGAAGCTCTGGATGTCTTTAGGGTCCATTAATGAGGGCAAGGCGAGGCACTTTTTGATGGTGCCTCGGATGACAGCCTCTCACTACCTTGTTACCGGCAAGCGAGAAAAGTAAAATAAAAATCAGAATAAAGATCGTCCTTAAAGGGCAGCCACACGCAGGCACTCCGCCCTGAGGTGAAGCATTCTCATTTCTGTCGGAGGGCAGGGATCACAAGGGTTGGTTGCCTGCCCCTTTGAAGGCAGGGTTTCCTGTGTGAGGGCTAAGCAAAAAAAGGAGCAGCAGCAGCGGTGGCGCCTTCTCGGCCAGAAGCCCCAGTGGCTGTGGATGGGCTCACTGCTCTGGCTGGCGGCATTGCAGGCCCGTTGGGCAGACGCTTACTTCCCGGAGGAACGCTGGGTGCCCGAGTCGCGTTCCCCCACCACTTTGCGCATGCGCAGGAGTGCCTGCCCACCTGTGTGCTCACCTGTGTGCGCATGCTTGAAGGGGTGAGGGAGAGTGCCAGTGGCAGCTCGGCTCCCGACGGGTTCCAACGAGTCCGGGGTTGGGGCTCCTTGCCACCCTCCACGGCAGGAAATTCAAATGGTGGAGGGCGGGGAAGAGCGCCGAAGACCAATGCAGCCGTCCCGGTGAGCAGCCGCTGGTGGTGGCGGCAGTGGCCTGCTGAGGGTGGGCGAGGAGCGCCAACCCGGCCTTGTTGGAGCCCACTTGGAGGTGAGTAGCCGGAGCACCTGGCCATGTTCAGCCTCCTGGCTCTGGGCCACCCCAGCCACCAGCACTGCCGGCCATGAATACAGACCTCCTGCCCACCCCACTCCCCTCCCCACAGCTACTTTGTGCCTGCGGGCACAGGCATGAAGGCGTGAGGTTGCGCTCATGCACTGCGTGTGTGCACAAAGCATCTGTGGGGAGGGGAGTGTGTGCGGGAGGATGGAAGGTTTCTTCGCGGCCCGGTCCGACTCAGGCCAGGGACTGGCACCAGGCCGGGGACTGGAGGTTGATGATCGCTGGCATAGTAGATTGCACACCAAAGAATTTGAAAAAGAAATGCAAAACGTGTATGTATGTATTCTACCTGTCTTGAGACACAGACACTCCTAAATATAAAAGTCATGCCATAGGATGAAGAATCATGGACATGTCTTTGAGTTTTGAAATTACTCTCAAAGCAAAATAGAACTTGGATATCATACGTTCTAACTCATTTCATTTGATATCTGTTCTTTTTCTTTTAAAATATTGTAGTAATTTATTGTTTTATCTTTTAATGTTGCTTCTTTTAATATTATAAGCTGCCTTGTGTTTTCTTGAGAAGAAAAGCATAGCGTAGATATTTTTTAAAAAGCGAAATTACCCCATAGAAAATCTTTAAATAAATACAGTGGTGCCTCGCGTGACGAGGATAATTCGTTCTGTTCAAATCGCTGTTAAGCGAAATCCTCGTCAAGTGAAATGAAAAAGCCCATTGAAATGCACTGAAAACCGATTCAATGAGTTCCAATGGGCGAAATACTGCAGCATCCAGCGAAGATCCTCCATAGGGTGGCCATTTTCAGTGCCTGTAAAGCGAGGAATCTGTCCTAAAACACAGCGGGGAGCCATTTTAAACAGCGGGCGGCCATTTTGAAGACCCAATGATCAGCTGTAAAGATTGTCATTAAGCGAAAAATCAGTTCCCGAAGCAAGGAACTGATCATTGTTAAGTGATTTTTGCATATTAAAACATCATTTTGCGATCGCAAAGGCGATCGTAAAACTTCATCGTCAAGCGATTTCCTCGTCTAACGAGGTAATCGTCAAGCGAGGCACCACTGTAAACAGATGAAAAAAATGCAGCCCTTGTTTTCTTCTCAAGATACTGCGTCTTCAACATTCAAACTGTTCTTGCAGTCCCTTTGGATTTCTCTTACTGGTGCAGTTAGGAATTTATTTATTTGTTTGTTTGTTTGTTTGTTTGTTTATTTAATATCCCACTTATCTGGTTGGTTAAGACCATCTAGGCGGCTTACAGCATAAAAATACAAAAGTATATATATAAAACAGTTTTTACATAGTGGATCACTTTTCAACAAGATGGGGCAAACAATGGGGGTGGGAGGAGAAAAGGAAAACATCAGGAATTGACTGGAGGGAAGGCCTGCCGAAACATCCATGTTTTTAGTTGATTTTTAAAGATACCCAGCGAGGGAGCCACGCGAATCTTATG